GTGGATACAAGGAGTGGAATTTTTTTTTTTTTTTCCCAGACAGAGTCTCACTCTGTCATCCTCGGTTGAGTGGCATCATTGTTGCTCACAGCAACCTCAAACTCTTGGGTTCAAGCAATCCTTTTTGCCTCAGCCTCCTGAGTAGCTGGGACTACAGGTACTTGCCTAACCACCATGCCGGCCAAAGGAGTGGAATATAAATGATGTCTTCATGGCAGTTTCTCCTCACTTCAAATTTACACGGGAGAAAAAAATGACCTTTCTCGTATAATGAAAATTATGCTGGAATTTTTTAGTCTCTTTACTTCTGTGGACCTTAATTTCTTCATCTGTAAAACATGATGTTCAACTAGAATGTGACTTCTTTTATACTTTTTCATGCTTCTAAAGACCATGTCATTCAAATTTCACAGATATATTTTAATTCTGGCATAGACACCATAGTTTGCATTTCACCTTGAAGGATGGGGTAGGCTCTTTAAACCTTCCAGACTGAAGGAAGTTTATTCTGTAGCCTATGCTTACATGGAAACTCTCCTGACCCTTTGATATTTTCTATTTTAATATCTGGAGAAGATCTGGGGATTTTACTTTTTGATATACAAAACACAGAGTTTGTGCATGTGGATAGACTAAATATCTTCTGATTTCTGGAAACCTTTCTCATGAAGCCCAGATTGTAGCCTATGGTGAGGAGGAGTGAGAGTTATAGGTAATACCTGTATAGCTCAGTAATGGAACAGCTTGGTGAAAAGGGCATGGGGAGGGATTTAGCTCTCCTAACAAGCATGAGAGAGCTTGTGAGCTGAGAGCATTGGTGAATTGGCAGTCTCTACACCTGTGGTGTTGAGAGGCACAAGATCAGCTCTATATTAGGCTGCAGGAGAAGTCAGGAACATGTACATTCTATCATGGACTTTTCACTCTGATTCTGTTGCTTCTCCTGCCTGCAGAATGCCAGCACGGCATCTCTCTGCTGTGATTACCAAGCTCTGCTATAGACTGCTAAAGGTCTATTCTTCTAAGACTACTTCATCCTCGAAGACTCTCTCTCTCTCTCTCTGCTAAAGTAGATAGCCCTCAGGCACCTAAAAGCAATTACTCCTGAGCAAGGTAGCATAGCGGTCTGCTTCTGGAACCTTGATAAGCCGGGGCCGGAGACCAACAAGTTGCGGGCCCGACCTCTGGACAATAGCGGGTCAGAAGGCTGATATGATGATTTTGTTAGTCTTTGATTTTTCTCCTTTATCCATCCCTTCATTGTGTTTTCCTGCATAAAGTTTATACAGTATTCCATAGAATGAATTAAGAATATGGCATGGATGTGTCTCTCATGTGCATCCAAAAATAGGGGACATTTATCAATTCCTTACAATGTTCCATGCCAGGGGCTCATTGTTCACACACATGATCTTATTCAAACTTTATAACAACCCTCTGAGACACAGATTTTTACTACCTTCATTTTACAAATAAAGAAACAAAGTGAGCATGGGAAATGTGATTTTCTCATAGTCACAAAGCTAAGTAGTCTAAGCAGGGAGTAAATCTTTTGTCCAGTGGCAGTATTGTTGAGAGTTTTTTTTTTCCCCACCCTTGGTGTTGTACATTCTGTGGAATTTCACAAATGTATAACACCACGCATTCACTAGTATAGTACCATAGACAGCAGTTTCACTATCCTAAAACTCCTTGTGCTCTAACTATTCATCCCTCCTCCATTTCCCAACCCCTGGCAACTATTGGTCATTTTAGTCTTCAAAGTTTTGCTGTTCCCAGAATGTCATAGACTATAGTTAGAATCATACAGTATGTAGCCTTTTCAGGTTTGTTTCTTTTGTGTAATGATATGTTTTTAATATTCTTCCAGGCTTGGTATCTCCTTTCTTTGCAGTGCTGAGTCATGTTCCACTGCATAAATATGCCACAGCTTGTTTATTAATTCACCTACTGAAGGATATCCTGGCTGTTTCCATCTGTCTGAACAGAGTGACTTTTAAATACTTACTATGGGAGTATAGAAAACAAAAATCAAAGATTTGATCTCAACCTTGACAGTGTTAAGGTTCTGATGGCAAAGACGGATGGAGGGACAATCATGGTAGAGAGAACAAAGGCAGTGAGCATTTTTTGAACACTTACCCTGTTAGGCAAACGGCTGGATACTTTAAGTTATCCTATTTAAACTTCTTAGTCAGCTTCTGGAACATTCTATGGTAATCTTACACCTTTTTTCACATGTAGGAAAGCTAAAGCTCTAAAATGCTATAATTTTTCCAAATTCACAAAACCAGATAAATTGCAGTTTGAACTGAATTTGACTCCAAAGCTTATGCTATTTGTCTTATCCTACCAAGTTCTCTACCCAAGGGCAAGGCAATTAGAGCAAATAGTTGGCTAGATTGTAAGACACAGAAAACACATGTGTGGTAATAAAGCTTTACAAGGTGTTTAGAGTAGGCTGTGCAAGGCTTTAACTTGGGCACTGTGGGGGTGTCTCTGGGCAGTGGAATGGTAGCAGGAGGTAATCATGTGTGGAGGGTGAAGGAGGAGATGGTGGAAGGGTGGGGAGCAAGAGGAAAGACCATCGTTTCCTCCTTTACAACATTGCCTAAGCTCGACATTACTGATGCTGGTAAGGGACTTCTGAGAATATGTAAATTTTTACCCCTGGGTGACCTTTAGGAGAAGGAACAGGATGCCTAAGTCTGGGCTTCCAGTAGATCGACCTGAAGGAAGTTGATCTACTGAAACTCCAGACTTAGGCAGAGAGGAAGTCACATGCGTTCCTTGCTGCCTGTCAGCATCTCGGTCCTAGAGGTTGTTTACTTGGTCAACTTACCATCCCTACTTCATCAGGCTACCTCGATAAAGTTGGGAAACTTCTTCAATTTGCAGGCACTTTTGGAGATTTTTGCAAGGTCAGTCAAAATAATCAAATCACGGGAGCTTTCAGATCACAGAGCTTGAAGGAGGAAGCATCATGTTTTTTCTGTTTTACTAAAAGTGACTGAAAAGTTGCAACTTTTAAAATCTAAATCATGACACGTTAGGGCTAAAAGAGATGGCTGCATTATGATTTTTCAAGAGGAGAAATCAATGTCTAGGGAGATTATGAAACTTAAGATGACACAGTGGCTGCCTGCCTAGCACTGGAACCCAGGTTCCTGCATGCTGTTCCACAGATGGCTTCTAACCCTGACAGGTAACAATTCGCCAGACTGTCCCAGAGAGCAATGGGGACCTTGTTTACCTAGGGGATTATGGTGACAGCGTAATCTGCCTTTGACAGGTCTTCTTCCAGAGCATTGCCTTAATAAGCATAAAAGACACTGATGCAGCTGCCACAAACAGCACACAGTGGGGAGACAGCTAGAGACTCCTGTTTCTGCCCCAGCCAGCCCCTCTGTCCATGTGCTCAGCATGCAGAAGGAATAATAACTGCTCCTGCAGTCTAGCCACTGGCAGCAACCAGACAGGCTTTCCCTTCTGCCTACACTGCCAGTTGTTTTCAGTTTGGTAAGGTTTGTGATTATGCTTATAAGACAGGGGATTCCACGTCCATGTGGGAAGTCCCCAGTGGAATCCACTTGATGGAGGCTGTGAGAGTGCCAGGAGAGCGAGCAGCAGGGCTTCCACTACCCAGGGCATGAAAACAAATTCCCTCCCCCCACACACTTTTGCTCAGGACATCTTGCCAAAAATAACCTTGCCAAAATTAAGAGCTGTTGTTCTTGGCAGGCACAATAGGCACTTTTTTTTTCTTACTTTTTTAGTAGGTAATAGAAGCATGTGGTACAAAATTCATTTAAAAAGTAGACCGTGAAAAATAAGGGTTATCCCTGGCTTCTAATTCCTTTCCCCAGAGGCAACATTTGCAGCCAGTGTTCTGTGTATGTGTATTCTTTCAGAAATATTCAGTACCCCCCTCAAATATTGTTCTTGTCTTGTAACAAAAAATGACAATTTTTTCTGTATAATTCTGCCATTTTTAAATTTAATAGATCTTGGAGTTGGCTTCTTATTGATTTCCTTTATTCTTTTAACCACTGAGTTCCTATGAACTCCCAGGCTTCTGCTCTGGCCTGTTTTATTTCTTTTCTTGCTATTGCGTACACGACTTGGTTCAAATCAGGTTTTTCAAGCTGTTTATAAAAAGGGAAAGGCCAAATGTTGAGAAAAAGCTGCACCCCAATCTATTGAACTCAATCAAGGATTAGAGCAGTTTCTTTTCTTT